GTCCAATAAAATATCCAAATGTAATAAAAAATATCTCTCAAATGTCTTCTGCTCCACTGTAGTCTCAGCCCTATTTACATTAGTTATGTAATAGAAATCCGCATTCTCTAGATGAGGGTGAATCATAAACTATAAGTAATTCTGTGTCAAAGTATCCACACAAGTAATTATGAGACAGCTTCAACAATAAAGCCTTCTTCAGAGCTACTTATAATGTTTTCTAGGGTCATTTAAGAAAATGAAGAGAAAAAATTCTTCCAATTCACCATAAATGCTGATCATTACATGATTAAATATAAAAGTACTCTTAAAAATGAGAGAAAAAAATGCTTATTTGGCAATGTGTTGTTATTTATATACTAGCACCTTTGAGCCTTAAAAAAATTCAACAGCATTTACAATGCATGCTATATCTATTTTAGCTATGCCAATGCTCAACGAAAAGCAGATAATCAAAGGAACAGAATAGCAGAATAAAATACATATTTAGTGGGCACTTATGAATTGCACAAAAATTAAGTTTGAATAGAAGCCCATTATACTCATCATTAAAGCAATTTTGTTGCAGAAGATTCACAATTATTGGCACCACTGACATGATGATGCTGTTAATGCTCTGTTTATATGAGTACAGTTTGTTTTCAAACTATAAAATGTTAAAATCAAAATGCTCAAACTGTAAAGGTAATGTAATTTACCAGGACACACTCTTAATTCTATTACAATAACAACATGGAAAATTTGACCATAATCAAACTGTAAGTTCAGCAGGGCATGAAGCTGGCTACCATTATGAACTATGATTATATACATTATTTGACTCATTAACAGAAACTGTAAATGGCTTTAATTCATTAGTTTTCAAAGTACTTATTCATTTATTCCTCAGAAAAATACTATGCCTGACAAATCTCAATAATCTTTTACTGTAAAGATAACGTTCCAGCCCACAATACAGCTTCTAACTTCTTGGTATAAATATTTCTGGGGGATTGAGGACAAAGGAAGAGTGGAAATGTCCCCAGTGCTCTTAAAATAAAGTACGGCAACATGTTAATTTTATTGACAATTAAACCTAAAATTTAAAAGTCCCCAAACCAAACTGGAATCCAATGAGTAGAACAGGCCAGGCATGGTGGCTCACACACGTAACCCCAGCATTTTGGGAGGCCAAAGCAGGCAGATCACCTGAGGTCAGGAGTTCAAGACCAGCCTGGCAAACATGGTGAAACTCCATCTCCACTAAAAATACAAAACTTAAATGGGTGTGGCAGCGTGCACCTGGGAGGCTGAGGCAGGAGAACTATCTGAACCCAGGAGGTGAAGCCTGAAGTGAGCTGAAATTGTACCACTATACTCCAGCCTGGGCAACAGAGTAAGACTCCATCTCAAAAACAAACAACAAAAACAAAAAGAATGAGGAGAACATTTTATTACTTCGCATGGCACCCAAAACTTAAAAGTCTAATCAAGAACCACTTTGAGAAACAGCTCCAACTGGTAGTTAAAAATCACTTATAGTGCTTACTCCATGTACATGAATTGCATTACTTACTAAGCACTGTAATCAAACTTAGAGGTTAAACAGCTTTAAGTAAATTTAAAATGGATAGAAATGGGGAATTCAATGGCAAACAAAATCCTTGGACAGATCATTTGCTTAAATTTGACACAGCATCAACCCCACTTTCTGAATTTTGGCAATAAAAGTAGTTTTATTTCATTAGCTTTACTCATATAAAAATGCTTACGCTTTTCAGTAAATGGCACATATTTATAACTTCCAAGATGCCTTTATAAAGACTACCTAAAATAATACACAGAATCCCAAAACACATAAAAATTCTGCAAGTATTATCTATTACGTACTTACTAAATGTATATCTTTATACATCTATTATACATTTTCCATTTTTCGTCAGTTATTATCCCAACAGATATCAACAATGCTGGAATCAACATACTTCCAGATGTGGGAACAATATGCCAGAACACAAAGGACATGGCACTTCAAAATTCCTACTCGAACTCTTAAGTCAACTTCAGTCATTTCTCCACTTTTTATTTCTAAAGTTAATACACTATCATTAGAATAGCTGGGTGAATCTCAAACACAAGTGAATAAATAGTAGAAATTCAGTTAAATAATATTAAGGCTAATGTAATTAAATTTTCATGTTGTACTTTAAAAAAGAAAAAAAAAAAACCAGCAGCTGCCAAATTTTCAGTTGAGAACAAATTTCCATAGTTCTTATTTTATAAATTACTTCTCAGCATTCTATATGGACTTTAACCAGACAAACCAATAATTTCTTTATTAAGATTCTTTTTTTAAAAAAGTATGTGTATATGAAGGGCTTTAATAAACTTCCAAAAAAATTAAAAATAAAAAATTTAAAAAGACTTCTCTCTTACTCATAACTTTGCACTTAAGCAATTTCAAAACACAAAGTATAAAGCTACCTCCTAGGCCATTAATTTGACCAGCTTTTGTAACTGTTCTATTTGTAATATTATAAAACACACTGCTAGTCTCAAAAACTTTATATACTTTAGTGCAACAAATATTCTTCCCCCCCCCACAAAAAAAGAAAAATGTAATAACTTTAATTTTTGTTAGCAGTCACAAAAATTTTTATTTAGAAAAAATATTCCCTTCAATATTTATTGGATAATGAATCTTAGTTAAATGAATAATTTACTTTTACTTTTCTGTGTAGACCAATTTAAAAGTATGCTACTTTCCTTTCATAAGCAAACTGTGTTTGTCTCATTCCGCATGGCAGATCAAAAATTAATATTTCTTTCTGCCTTAAAAATTAGGAGATTTTCCTCATTATGAATTACTTGTTTCTATATGAATTACTGTTGTGCTGCTAAAAACAAAAAGTTAGTAAAGGTTATGGACACACGGAGAAAAAAACAAGCTATAATACTAGTTAATAATGAAATACATTAAACATTATTTAAATATTAAAGTCAAATACTCCTATATTAATAAATAATTAAAAATTGCATTTGTCAATGGGAATACAGGCCAACGCCACCAGTAACAGGGATGGTCTAGTGCAAAGGGTGGCCACGAAACAACAACAACACACACATACAGAAAAGAAGGAAGAGGAAACACATTTAATCCTGGTATTGTTTCCAATAACAAATTAAACCAGTGGTTCTGAATCCTTCCTGCACACTCAAATTACCTGGAGAACTTCTAAAAACAATACTGATGACCAGGTCTCAAATTACATAAAAATGGGAATGAAGATTCAGGCATGGGTTTTTTTTTCAAACTCTCCAAATGATCCTAACATGCAGTCAGGGTTGAGAGCAACTGACTGAAACCTACATACTTCTTACTGCTCCCTGACTGAGAAGAATGTCCTATAAATGTAGAAATAGAACTTTCCTTTACAGATTGGGCATACATGGGTATCTCCAGTTAGAAGTAACTTATGGGTAAGTTATTTATACTTCATTTCCATTAAAGTATCTACTTATACCTCTCCTCATTCCCTGTAATTCTGTATTCTCAAATTCCAAAACCAAGTAGAGTCAAACTACATTTTTGTAATAAATTTGTTACACTGAAAATACATTATTCATTCATGCATATAAGTATTTACTGAATGCCTACTATGTGCAAGGCACTGTGTTAAGTACTGCTATCAGACCATGTCATGGGAGAATGAATAGGGATTAGCTGAAAAAGTAATGGAATGAAATTTAATTCCATGGACCTAAATAAGAAGCTACATTGTCAAAGAGAAAAAAAGCAGTGCTTATGCTAAGGATCTGATTTTCAGATAGATGATCATCACATATTTGTCCTTTTCCTAAAGTTCCTCTATAGTTTTTCCATAAGCCTTTGAATATACATAAGGCAAATTCAAAATAGAAAAATAAACCTCATTCAAAGTAGATGTTCCTAATTTTAACCATATTCTGTATCAAGTAAAGTTCATTAATAAGTATAAATACCAAAAATCTTTACGGGAAGGTAGTTCATATTGACTTGTAGTAGTCTTGACAAGTAATCTTACATACATATATCACAGATTCTGGTCCTTGACTATTTCATCATGAAGAAAGTTTACACAACACGTAATTTATTCCGGAAACAGATCTATATGCTAAGAAAGCCCAATGGGAAAAAATCTGAGTTTTATCTTTAAGGAAAGAAGACACTAAAAAGGGAGGAAAACGGGTAGAATCTATTCAAACTTTCTAGGTATGCTAAAATCCAGTAATTTAAAATGCCAACTGTTCTCTTCTGAACAGCCTTGTAGATACCGTGTAAATAAATACCTTTTCTAGTTACTAGTGGTATGGACTTTGTGATTACTTAAAAGTAAATAATTTCTTCTCGTTTTTGTGACAGTGCTAAATTTCATAAAGAATCTAGATAATGTCTGCTTAACACCTATGAAAGGGATAAATGTTTGCCAACAATATGTTAACCTAGGAAAGAACTGCTGGGAATAACAAGGAAGAAAAAAATGACCTAAGACTGTGATCAGCAAAAATTCTGATGGCAAAAACAATTTGGGAAAGTAAAGCTTTCCAGTTGCTTTTAAGTAAAAAGAGCAAAATCAGGATTCAAGGAAAATGGTCAGTTGTACCTTGGAGGCAACATTTTGTCTAAAGTAGAGAAATAGTAAAATATTTTACTAAGTTAAAATATAGGTTTTATATTTTATACCATATTTAATACACACACAAAAATACCAGTGTTTTTCTCTTGTTTCTTTTCAATTAAGCAAATGTGTTCTTTGGTGTCTGGGAGTTTATCAATATTGAGGGATAATGGAAGATAAGAACTCCAAGACTGACAAGCCTAAACCTAAAACAGAAGACTCAAAATCCTATACCATAAAAATTAGAATCAAAGGTGGACTAAAGAGAAAAGGAGCTTAAAGACATACTGCAATAGGGCTGATACATATTCCTTCCCCAAATCATACTGTGGCTCCCAAAATAAAAAATACTACAGCCTATTATGGTTTTAATCTGTGTTTTGAAATTTTTTTCAAACGGAAAGATATCACAGATAGAAACACATCATTCTAAGTTTCAAAAATCACCAGTCAGTGAGAAGAACGTACATTCATTAAATGTTATCATTTGTAAATAAAGAAATCTTGAAAAGGCTGAACAGTTCAATCAAATTGAAGAGTTGTTCTTGATTTTTCATTATTCTTTTTAAATAAAGAGTAAGTGTAGATATAGTGTACATACAGGTTGACATTCTGATTCATTCAAAATGGTCACATCCCTCTGCTTGGTTTGGATGTTCCAGAGACTAAAATTTAATACCATTCATCACACAGTATTTTCAGTAAAAAGAATTAGAGAGCAATGAAAAATCAGAAGCAAGATGGCTCAGAGAGCCTTATAATCTCTAAATATACACACATTTATAACCTGCATTTATTTTCTAAAGAAACAAATTTTTTAAGTAATGCTAATTTAACCAATGGAGAAAAAACTTCTATCAAAATATACAATTTCCATTACAGACTAGAAGGCTAGTATTAAAAAAATAGTTGTAAGCCAAAAAGTTTGCTTATATGGATGACAGGCATCATCTCCTTGAAGCACAAAGCATCGAGTAAGGTTTTATAAAAGATCAATCTGTGACCTTCTTCATCTTTAAGTTCTTGATAAATTCATAAAGCTTGAGTCTCAATTTCCAGAAACAGAGGAGCCAAATAATTCAGAATCTCAAGTGGGATTTATGCTTTACCATGTACCTGAAAAAAAAGTATGATGGTAGGTCATAATGACTACAGAAATTTCGGAATTTTTAGAATAACGCATGTAAAAATAAGTTGACATTTCTTAAATCAACAGAATGTTGTTTTCTAGAAAACTGAAAATATAAGGACTTCTGGAATAAGCTAGAAATAACACTCCTCTTAAGTAATATAATCTAAAAGCTTCTAGCTAAAATGATATATATTTTTCACATCTATTGTGAGAGACTTACACCAAGATGTTACAGATTTTAAGGAGCACACCTCAAAGAGAATGGATTCAGTGGTACTCACTGTGAACATACGCTGTTCTTAAATCTGCCAATTACAAAACTGTTACTAAAGGGTTTTATCAACACTATACTAGTAATCAAAATAAATTTTAAAATTTCATTTCTTTTCATGAACTATGTGTAACACAGACGAACCCAGAATCAGAGATCTTTCAGTACTTGCAAAAACATAGGGCGCTTAATCCAAAGTTTCTTGGACAGATAATAAGGTTCAAAAAGGTCACACAGATCATTAGAGATTACAAAAGCAAGACTCAAGTCTAAGTCTTCTGACTCAATTTAGTGTTCCCTCTATCAGGCTATTAACTCTCCATCCCTTTCTAAAGTAATTATACAATAAAATTTTGTTAATTATTTACTGAAGATAAACATCAAATTAATGTTGAAAGAAGGAAAATAGGGAGTAAGATTCACAACTTTATGGAACTTAAAATTTAATTGAGGAGACAGAAAAATTACAATAAACCACAGATAAACACATTTTAGAATAAAAATTACCTGTCCAATGTTTCCCAAAATCGTAAGAACACTGGTCTATCCAAATGACGTTTGTGATAGCTAAGTTCTAATACTGTTACATCCCATTTCTGAACATTCGGATCCAGACGAACTTCATCATATTTCAGATGGAAGGCTTTAACTACAGTGGGGGGTGGGGAGAAGAAAGAATTTTTTACTCAAAATATAAACAAAATTATAAAAACATTTTACAGAAAATTTTTTACAAATCCAAATCCAATTAATATCTGGAATGAATTCAAGACATTAAACTGAAACCTAAAAAGAAAAAGAAAAAGAAAAAATTTCCACCAACTGAAGCCATAGTACAACCAAAGTGATTTTTTAAAAATATTATATTTAAAAATATTCAGGGTTTATATATGCCAGGCACTGGAGACTAAAATGAGGAATAAGGTAAGATAATATGCATATGGTCCAGTGAAGGACAATAAGAAAGACTGTAAGGGTACTAGGTTATTACAGAAACCCAAGAGTGCAACCTTACCTTGTAGACATTGTGGGTTCAGTTCCAGACCACCGCAATAAAGTGAGTACCATAATACAGTAAGTTACACATATTTCCTGCTATCTCACTGCATATAAAAGCTACATTAACACTATGTCATAGTCTACCTTAAGTGTGGAATAGCATTATGTCTGAAAAACAATGTATATGCCTTAATTAAAACATACTTTGTTGCTAAAAAATGCTGACAATCATCTGAGCCTTCAGCAAGTTCTAATTTTTTTTGCTGGTGTAGGATTATGCCTCAATGTTGATGGCTGCTGACTAATAGGGTGTGGTCTTTGATGAATGTTAGGGTGGCTGAGCAATTTCTGAAAATAAGATAATAATAAAGTTTCTGGCACTTACTGAATTTACCTTTCACAAAAGATTTCTCTGCAGTATGTGATAATATTTGACCGCATTTTACTTAAAGAAGAACTTCCTTAAAACTGGACTCAATCTTCTCAAACCCTGCTGCTTTACTATATTTATGTCATGTTCTAAATCCTCTGTTGTCATTTCAACAATGTTTACAGCATCTTCACCAAAGTGCTCACTGGAGTGAATTCTATCTCAAAAAATCACTTTCTTTGCTCATCTGTAAGAAAGAACTCCTCCCTCATCCATTCAAGTTCCAGCATGAGAGTGCAGCAATTCAGTCACATCTTCAAGCTCCACTTCTATTGCTAGTTCCCTTGCTATTTCCACAACCTATCTTCGGTTATTTCCTCTACTGAAGTCTTGAACCCCTCAAAGTCATCCATGAACCATGAAGGTAGCAATCAACTTCTCCTAAACTTCTGGTAATGGTGATATTTTGACCTTCTCCTATTAATCACAAATGCTCTTAATAGCATCTAGAATGGTAAATCTAGGAAAGTTTCAATTTACTTTTCCCTGATCCATCAGAGGAATCAATTTATAGCAGCTACAGCCTTTCAAAGCTTATTTCTTAAAAAAAAAAAAACCTTGAAAAGTCTAAATTACTCCTTGATCTATGGGCTAAATAATAGATGCTGTGTTAGTAGTCATCAAAACAAAATTCATCTCCTTGAACACCTTCATCAGAACTCTTTTGTGAGTAGGTACATCATCAATCAGCAATAATATCTTGAAAGGAATCTTTCTGAGCAGTAGGTCTCAACAGTAGCTCAAAATATTCACTGAACCCTGAGTCACTGGAAACTTTAGTGAAAATAGTTTTAGTACAGAGCAAGAGCCAGACTACAGGGGATTTGAACAGAAAATGAGTTGGTAGAAACAATTCTTTCTAAAGTGAAGCTATAAAAGGAAAAAGAAGCAGCAAGGGGAAAGGATGAGGTTAAGGGTAAGGGTTTTGTTTTGTTGTTTAAGATGGAAGGGGAAAGAGTATTCTTAAATGCTGAGAGAGGAGTCAGTGTAGAAGGAATAGGTGAAAGAGAAAGAATAACTAATGAAAGTAAATCAATGATGACCGTTAAAAGAAAATTCTCTAAATTCTTATCTAAATTTCAAAAGACTAACAATTTGAACAAAATAATAAAAAACATTTTTATATTCTTAATGAATTTCATACATTTATATCTTGAAGACACTCTAATCATTTTGCTGAAATATTATTATTCAACAAGGCAAGCAAGTAGGTAAAACAATACACACTGACATTTTACTTTGATTCAAATTCCCATTCTTTTTATTTAACTTTCTATTTACCAACTCCGTGCCTTACTCAAGTTTCAAAAATAACATAAAAAGCTATCATAATGTAATAATAGAATTCTTTTTTTTTTTTAAATGAATGAAGGTAATAGAAGAACACTACAACTTTCAAGCTTGGGTACTTTCTATGGAAAAATGATGGTACCACTAACAAAAACTGGGGCTGCTAAAAACAAAGGGCATTTCACAGGATTGTTCGTAGTACAATCAACATTCATAATAACTAAGGTCACTTTTTTTTTTGAGACAGAGTCTTGCTCTATCGCCAGGCTGGAGTGCAGTGGTGCAATCTCAGCTCACTGCAACCTCCACCTCCTGGGTTCAAGCACCTCAGCCTCCTGAGTAGCTGGGACCACAGGCGCGAGTCACCATATCCACCTAATTTTTGTATTTTTAGTAGCAACGGGGTTTCACCATATTGGCCATCCTGGTCTCGATCTCTTGACCTCATGATCCGCCCACCTTGGCCTCCCAAAGTGCTGGGATTACAGGCATGAGCCATGGCGCCCAGCCTAAAGTTGTCACTTCTAATAAATATACTTTTTTCATGAAAATGACATTTTAAAATAAATTTTACTTATGTTACTAATTTAATTGAATACTGTAATTAATTAAAGAATTGTTGGAATACCCCTTCCAGCAAATAAACAGGTGAAATTAATCTTTTGTTATATCAATTTATGCTCATATGTTTAATAAACATTAAACACGCATGAAATGCTTCATTCAGCAGATATTTACTGAAAGCCTCTCTGTGCCAGGCACTCTTCTGTACTGAGGACTCAAGGTAAATAAGGCACAGGAGGACTCTCCCATCATGAAACTTGCATTCCAGCTAGGGAACACTTAGAATAAAAATATAACAATTAGAAAACGCCTAGGAATGGTAAATGCTATCAAGAAAATAAAAAAGCTTAAAGAGCAAATGGGAGATGGTGATAGTTATTTGAAAGAAGAAAGTCAGAGACAGATTCACCAAAGAGAAAACACTTCAGCAGAGCTCTGAATGAAGAGAAAAAGTCAACTTACAATCATTTCAGATGAAAGGAAGAGCTGGTAAACGTCATTATAGCATTTTAATTTACACATTTCTGTTCATCAAAAGCCAACCCATTTAAAACTGGCATTAATTTTAATCAAAATGTATGGGCATGCAACAGTATGGATGATTTTTAAGTGATCTAAAAATAATTATTGATGTTGTGGACAGGCAATACTCACTTTCAGATATACCTATCCAGAAAGTACTAATGTATCAAACTTTTAAAAACACGTCACCGGTGCTTAAATACTCACACAGTATATTCTACTTAACAGCAATCCTTTCAGATACACGTCACATGTGCAGAACCATGTGACTCTCTAAACAAGGTGAGAACATTCAGCAACAAAGAGAATCTTACTTTTAGCAAATATATCAACTGGTGATCCATCAGGCAAAAGCCATGGCCAGCCTTTGAACTGCCATGCAGGACCTTGCACAAAAACGGCTACAACGCGGTCCCTACAAGTAGAAAAGGGGGTGTGGGGAGGTAGAGGACAGAGGGAGATTATCTCAAACTTGAGCTTTAGTTACTATAAATCCCTTAGACAACAGTCCTGTAATCGTTCATGTGACAGTCTTATCAATCCTTCTATGAGGCAAATACAGTAAGTACTTACCAACTTTTCAATATGATATTGTCATTAGAGTGTATTAATCATTGTTATACTTCCCATGCATCTGGTTTTTACATCTAAGTTTTTTAAACGTAATGGCATGAATAATACTTGTATGTAATCCTGTTTGCCTTTTCTGTTCCCTTCTGTTAATTACAGCAGGGGCCCACTATTCCAACACAATAGGGAATAGTGGTTGATAACTATTTTTTTTTTTTTTTTTTTTTTTTTTGAGACGGAGTTTCGCTCTTCTTACCCAGGCTGGAGTGCAATGGCGCGATCTCGGCTCACCGCAACCTCCGCCTCCTGGGTTCAGGCAATTCTCCTGCCTCAGCCTCCTGAGTAGCTGGGATTATTACAGGCACGCGCGACCATGCCCAGCTAATTTTTTGTATTTTTAGTAGAGACGGGCTTTCACCATGTTGACCAGGTTGGTCCCGATATCTCGACCTCGTGATCCACCTGCCTCGGCCTCCCAAAGTGCTGGGATTACAGGCGTGAGCCACCACGCGTGGCCTGGTTGATAACTATTAATCAAAAATTTGCTTAAAAAATTATTTAAAATTTAAGCACATCTTAAATATTTTACTTTAAAAACATTACATTATAGGAACTCATCAACCATTTTATGAGGCCCCATGGCCTTATCTGAGTTCTTGTGATTACTTGGGAAGTAATCTGAGTATAGAAATCATTTAGACTTTTATAATTTGTGCAACTGTTTTACAATTGTTTCATTCACCCCAAACTTGTGTTTTTTAAAGCAATTTTCTTCCAACCAATCAACCTAGTTTTCCCAGAAAGAACAAACTTCTTTGTAGGCCCTCAAATTTCATTATTTTACAAAATATTTAATTAAATTGAGAAATTATAAATAGTACTGCCACAGACAGTTAAAGCCAGTAACTAAAGGGGTGGGAACAAAACAACTATAACAATAATAGTTAACATTAGTAACATTTACTATGAACATTTACTATATGTCAAGTGCCATTTTAAGGACTTTATGGATTACTTATTATGTTAACACATTTAATCTTCAAAACGATCCAATGACCCCGCTGGATACTATTAGAATCCTCATTGCACAAATGAAGAAACAAGTGTGTAGGCATACTGGAGAACAGAAACGTGGAAAGTAGTAGTAGAGAGAAAAGGAAGAAGGGAGGAAGGGAAGGAGGAGAATAAATTATGATGCCGGGGCACTGGGTATGCTACTGTTCCTATTTGAGAGCAGATAAATCATGAGAATAGCCATCTCAGTATTATCATGAAAATAGTCTTGACCTTGCAACTCCGTGAAAGGGTCTTAGGAACGCCCTGAGGTCTGCAGACCACACTTGGGTAACCATTGCATTAATGACGACTGCAGACACAAAACAAAACATTAAACCAGGGTTACCTTATATTCAAGGAGAAGACCTGTAACAACTATTAAAAACTGCAAGCTTAAAATTTGTTACCTGCTCAAAATCTCTGAGGCTAAAATTAAATCTTAGAGTAAAAAAATTTCTCCTTTCATGGGACACATGCCTCAAACTGTCAAAATCATCTTTGGCAATGCAGAATCCACTATTAAATAATCCTTCAATTTTATGATGTAACTTGAAACAGCTGAAAGCCCACGATGCTTGCCAAAGCAAAGGGAATTTGCTGGACAGAGGTCACCTATATTCTACTGGGTCTCATAGGATCAGCAGGGAAGCAGGATAATAAAAATGTTACTCCCCATGAATTCTTGAAAAGACAATTAAAGGGAAATAAAGAAGTAGGCTTCAATGGCTGGAGACGTTAACTAATACACACGAGCAGTATTTTACAGCATAGTGATGACATTTGTATGCACTATTATTTCTGCAAATAACTGCAAACACAAAACACAAAGGATATAATTTTCTTACTTGGTTTTAAGCTTGATATCTAAAATTCTCATCTTACTTTCTGTATCACTCAAAGTATCTATTAGGTGTCCGGGGAGAATTATAACTTAAAAACTCTTTATTCTTTAGAAAAATTTTAATGTTAATATTCTCAGTGCCTTGACTTCCTAATACCTGAATTCACAAGTACTTCAAAGATAAATTCAACTAACGTGTCATGCATGTATTGCATTTTCTGTATCACAGATATATACTCAACTTCTACTCCAGTTTATAGAAATGAGGTAATTTGTGTGTCTAAATTTAGAGGCACTTTATATTATAAACAGCTTACTATTTTGTTAAAGAACATTTTAAAGCAATAAAGGGGTTAAACCATGATAAAAGAGCTGTTCCTATTATTTCTATTAAATTATTCCTTTACAATAAAAATATGTCTTCACTTACCATTTCTTACCAGAAAATGAGAATTCTCCAAACCAAAAATCTAAAATCTACCTTACAACATTAGTCTGCAAGCTGATGCAGAATGAACATGTGGAAAGAATTTTTTATACTGGGTTTTCCAGAAGTTAGAATGTTTCTTCTTATAAGTAAAATCAAGTTTTCCTATCCAAAATATAAAGTTACCAAGGAATTATTAGAATGTTAACATTATTGATGACCAAATTAACATATATTAACATAGTTTTCAAGGACACTTTCTATTTAGAACCCATGATAATATCTGATACTCGCTCACACAAGAAAAAACCAACGATATACAGAAAACAAATATTTAAAAAATATAGACTGCCAGGTGCAGTGGTTTGTGCCTATAGTCCTAGCTTCTTGGGAGGCTGACATAGGAGGACCGATGGAGCCCAGGAGTTCAAGCTCTGCCTGGGCAACAATAGCAAGACCCCATCTCTTAAAAAACATCATCATCATCATCAATGGCAATAACAACACTCATTCTCTTGGGTGTAATGCCTGTAAAAAGAAATCTATAGACTATCTTACCAGTCTTGAGGCATAAGTTTAAGGGGCTGGTCTACTACTCTATAAGGTACTGTGACACTAATTGCAGTGCCCCCTGGTTGGATCTGGTCTTTTCTTCTTTGTATTAGAGTTTCATTTTCTCGTTGACAACCTTGTTTCTTCTTTTCATCTGATGGGACAAATCTTTGAAAAAACAGAGATGAGAAAAAGTCAAATGTATTCCATGTGATGAAAATGGAATAATAAACGCTATTTTGAAATAATTCTTTAAACATTAATAGTTTTAAACTAAAGATGTTTGTTTTTAAATAAACCTGCTCTGCAAGTACAGATCATGAAGAGTATGGGTCTTTGTTCACCAAACAGAACGCAGGCTCACTCAGACTCTAGGTTGGTGTGTGTGTATGTGTATCAACACACAATTTATAATCATTCAATTAGCACTTAGCATTCTCCATACTAATCCTTAATTTCTCAAATTCTATTAGAGGGAAACTTCATGATAAGAGAAACTTTATTAGAAATCAAAAGGTCACTTGAAGTGAAAAGGCTGCTGTGGCTAGCAGGCTTCTTTATGTGACTTAGCCTATCCAGGAACTTCACAAAACACTTAAAAAAAAAAAAAAAACAAAAAAAAACAAAAGAAACATTTTATGCTTCAGCAAAATTACAAAAACACCATCAAACTTCAGAGAGCTTTGAAAATTTTAAAGTATGAAAATTAAATCAGTGTATGATGATTATTTTAGGAAACACTGCGATTATTATCAACTAGTGGCATTTATCAACTTACTTAAGTGGATCAATTCTCAAGACAGATATTTTTAAAAATAACAATCTGGATAGCTGTTGCCAACTCTATAATTTGCTAACGTTCACAAAGTATTTTACAAGTCTTATTTTCTAAATATATACATAATCCTAACAGTCCAGTAACACATTTTATTAGCTATGACCTAGTCTCTCCAATAAAATGGAGGGAATACAATCAATGTATGAGAGTGCCATTCTGCTTCTAAAGCTTAAGAGAGATGAAAAGATGAAAGGACCAAAAAACACAGGACAACTTGCACTAATTAGAGTTCTCTGAAAAACTTCAATTCCACATATTGGATTCATCAGAAAGTGGTATTAATTTTATGGTCTAGAAAGTTTTTAGCTCATGGTGATAATGATGATACCAAACTTTGTTTCTGAGCTGATTGTTCTCACATCCATTTTACATTTGATTAAAAAGTTAAGATTTCTATATCATTTAAAAATTTCCCCCAGATAATAATTTGCTTCCTATGGCATTTGGTTTATTTATTAATCAAGCTCACTTAGAAAATGCCAAAGATAGTACTAACACTTTGGTTAAGGAAACACATAATTCAAAAATTTTAGTAAGTGTACATTATTTGAAACTGGGTACTAGCAAAAAGCCACAAGCAAGCAAGCAGCCAAAAAAATTAATAAATCTTTTTTAAAAGCCACAACAAAAAATGTTTTAAGTGAATACTACGTGCAATATATCATGCTATAACTTTCACAATATACATAGCTGTACAAAACAGTGACTGCCCTCTTGAACTTATGTTCCACACACACAGAACAAAGGGATTCTACAGCCAAGAAAAATGCTTTGCTTTATCTCAATCTGTAACTACATGGGATTTAAAATGTTTAAATTGTTAAATATAAGACTGCATCTCTCTTTTCTGGCTTCTGAAATTTTAACATGGTATTAAAGCATAAATTTACTTGTAAAAAATTACTTACAAACTTTAATGGCTAGAATATAAAATATCTAAAAATGAGTGATTAAAATACCAAACTAACAAAAAGTCTATGATACACCTATTTCAACTTTTGATGCCTAAAAAATAAGTTATAGCTTGTCTACACATCAGTTGATGATTTATAAAAGTTCAGAATCATTAACGTGGTTTTTATAATTAACCACCATCCTAGAATTTTTAGATGCTCTAGCATGTTAATTTCTGATTATATCTAGGTATTTTCTTAGAATTGTAGTCACTTCTATTAGCAGTTAAAAAAGACAAAGAAAAAAAAAAGAAGCTTTATTTCATAATGCATGTCAGCAAGGATCTCATTTGATAACATAAAGATAGATCTTATAACCTCTTCCCCTAAAGTTGTCTACTAAAAAGATTGGTATTCCAGAGTCAATATAAGTTTTACCTGTTCACCCTACTGCAGTTAATCAAATCTAAGACACCAGTGACTGTGAGATACACCATTATATTGTACCATATTGTACCATTATATTGTACCACTATGAAAGAAAAAAAATACTGCCAATTGAACTATATATTCTACATAAATCAGTCATCATCCCTCCAGAAAACTGGTTATTTCTTCTGGCTTCGGCTGCACTGCTGAATGTGTGTGATAGGCAATTGTTTCAAAGGTATCTCAGGCAAAATAGGTCCATCTACTATTGCCATCTTCCCTTTTTAGGTTCCATGCAGCACCTGGTTGTTGCTTTATAAAATATATATATGAAATTAGAGCCAGGCATGGTGGCTCATGCCTATAATCCCAGCACTTTGGGAGACCAAGGTGGGTGGATCATCTGAGGTCAGGAGTTTGAGACCAGTCTGGCCAACATGGTGAAACCCTATCTACTAAATACACAAAAATTAGCCGGGTGTGGTGGTGCATGCCTGTAATCTCAGCTATTCTGAAGGCTGAGGCAAGAAAATCACTTGAACCTGCGAGGCAGAGGTTGCAGTGAGCTGGGATCAAGCCACTGCCCTCCAGTCTGGGTGACAGAGTGAGACTCTGCCTCAGAAAAATAAAAAGGAATAGGGAAATCATTCTTCTAATGCGGAAGAATTCAAATATCAAATTTGCACTCCACTGCTTCATTTCAGTGTATTCTTGAATATACAACATTTTAATTGGCATAAAATTTACATATGGTGAAATGTGCAAATAGACAAGTTTTGATAAACGTATACTGAGTATAAGCAGCATTCCAATCAAGATAAAGAACATCTGCATCAACCAGAAAGTTTCCATATATACCTTTCAGTCAAATGCCATTCTCCTTCCCAACAGGCAACCACTGTTCTGCTTTCCATTAGTTTTGCCTGTTTGGGGAATTCATATACACATTCTCATAATACCAGATGTATTATTTTCTACCTGGCTTCCTTCATTCAAGGTAATGTTTCTGATCATCATAACTGCAGTGGGGTGTTAACAGTAGTTCATTCTTTTTTACTGCTAAGTAGATTTCAATGATAAGAATATATTCTCCTGCTGTGGACATTTGGATGTGCCTTGGTACGTACAGGGCACAATAATAGAAACAGCAAAGACTAACTGAGATGGCCTGTAAACAACAAAAATTTCTTTATCACTGTTCTGAAGGTTAGGAAGTCAAGATAAAGATATTGGCGCATCTAGTGTCTAGAGAGGTCCCACTTCCTGGTTTGTAGACAGTATTTCTGCTGTGTCCTCATTTGGAATCAGGAGCAAGGAAGCTCTCTGGGATCACTTTCATAAGGGTGCTTACCCTACTGTGAGGACAGAACCCTTGTGACCTAATTACTTCCCAAATACCCTAGCATTAGTGACTAAGTTTCAACATACAAATTTTGTAGGGCACAAATGTTCAGTCTATAGCAGAATAGTTTCAAAGTCTGGACCCACACCTATGTAAATACTCCTTTGTAAGTGTTTTTGTGAACACATGCTTTCATTTCTCTTACACAAATACCTTTGAGTGAATTACAGGGTATGTGTAATTTTATAAGAAACTGCCATGAAGTTTTCCAAAGCAGTTAAACCATTTTATACTTCCACTAAAAATGTATGAGAGTTCTAGTCTTTTCAATTTTAGTCCTTCTAATGGGTATGTGAAATAGTATCTCAAGATCATTTTAATTTTTACTTCCTCAATGACTGATGATACTGAGAATTTTTTTCATGTGCTTATTGGCCATTTGTATACCTTCTTTTGTGGAGTGTCAACATCTCTTATTTTTAACTGGATTTTTAAAAATATTGACACACAGGATTCTAGATACAAATCTTTTGTTAGAAATGTGCAATAAAAAGATATCCCCCCAGCATGTGCCTGGCCTTTTCATTTTCTTAGTGGTGTCTTCTGATGAACGGAAGTTTTAAAATTTCTTTCTTTTATGGTTCACCCTTAAAAAAAAAACAAAAAAAAAAAAAACAGTATTTCAGGGTCACAAAAACATCCTATTATGCTTTATTCTAGAAGCCTTAAAGTTTTAGCTTTTAAGTTTGTGTGTATAATCTATCTTAAATAAATGTTTGTGTATGGTGTTAGGTAATGGTTGAGAGTCGTTCCTCTCCACTCATATATTTATCCAATTGTTCCAGTTCTATTTGTTGATAAGGCATTAACTTCTCAATTGAATTGCACTGACGTCTTTGTCAAAATAGTACAGGCCCATTTATGCAATCTCCATTATTTTCATTCATCTACCTGTCTATCTTTATATCATTAGTGCAATGTGTGGATTACTGCAGCTTGATACTAAGTCTTGAAATCAGGTAGTGTATGTCCTCCCTCTTTGTTCCTCCATAGTAACTGTTTCAATGTTAAATCTCACTGCCTCTTTTTTGAAGACATTTTGCATTACATTTAAATTCAACATATATAGTGCCATCTATGCACATATCTCACAGAACTGATGAAACTATGAATTGCCATCACTATTCTGTGCATGTGCCAGTAATAAAACTATGTCAGGACTGCCACCTAGCCACAGAAACTCTAAGATAACATCAATTATATGGCATCTCACAATTTCAGATATTAAATCATGAGAAGTAACTGTCTAAAGTATGTAACACTCTAGACCTAATTAAACTTTACAAAGAATGTGACCAAAGTGCTATCTATTACGTTATCAATTTAGCTACACGAGGTCAACTGCCAATGTATCCTGTTCTACTACAACTCCACTCTCAGCTTAGAAGCATCAGCTAATGGCAGCAATGACCAGATGGAATATAATTTAGGATGCTAAAGAGGGTAAAATTTAAGCCTATCAAGTACTACCCAGACTTAAGCCTTAAATGACAAATAACAGTACTCTATTTCTATGCCTCCTCTTGCACAAGAAGTTTGAACAAATTGGTTCTGGTCTATCAATACATAATAACACAGCTGTCTATAAGGTAGCATCCAAAAGGTA